TGGTCTTGGCAGGAGGAAGGCCAGGGGTGAGGCCCTGGACCACACCTGTGGGCAGAAGACAGTGGGAGCCTGGGGGGCCCTGGGGACTCTGGAGGCGAAGGTGTACAGAGAAGAGGATGAGACTCTGCCTTCTGGAGTGGGACTGCTTCACTCTTGTGACTGCTGCCCACCAGGCGGTGTGAGTGAGAGCCAGGGGCAGGAAGCTCGAGGCCCATTCAGGGAACTCCCAGGGTTGATGGAGCTTGGCCAGGAGGCTCTGAGCTGTCGGGGCCCTGAGCTGTGGAATAAAGAAACAGCCGGGATCCAAACGGAGAAGCGGCGAGGACAGAGGTGGTCACTGCCGTGGTAGGTGTGCCGAGTGTGGACAGGTGGCAGGGCCCACACGCACGCGAGCTCGGTCCTCTCTCCAACCCGAATTTCAAACCGCACCTTTAGGGGAAGTATAACCTTTCCATGAGAAGAAGCAGTGCTCGTCTGAGTTCACGCAGTCACGCTGCTTGAGATCCCTTGTTTCCAGGTTAGTAGCTGGTCTCTGGATGCCGGCAACAATCGCCCAAAATGGCGTGGTCTCCGCTGCTGCGCTGGCGCACCAAGGAGAGGTTTCGCCGCAGTCTCCAACCGACCTTTTTTTCCTGGGGGTTCTCGGTCTTTCCCAGCTGCAGACAGTCTCTCAGCTGAAAATCCTCTGCCTATTCGGGCTGTATGTTACCCGTTTCAGCTGCTCACCCTTATCTGCTCCAGGACAAGGCACAGGACACGTCCGTTTATACCGCCGCCATTTTCCCTCTCTCTCCTATTATTATTATTAAAGCCCTACTTCTTGTTATGAAACAGGGTCCAGGGAACACAGACTGGCTTTCTAAGTGTATAAGGCATGACAGGACCTTTTAAATGTTTTGATAAAAGATACACTGATTCATAAGCAGAAATTGTCCTCTGTGATTTTGGCCTCTTTCTCTAAGAGCTTTATGGGGTTGATGGTGGGTCTCCTGCTTTGCCAGGAGAGAGTAGAGGTGGAGGAACTGAAGTGCAGAGGCCCGTTTTCTGCCTCGTGCCATGTTAGCGACGAAGCCGGCGGCATCCTTCACGCCTCACACTCCATGCTGACCTCAGGCCAAGGACCACCCACCTCCCGACGAAGTCATGCACATGTAGCTTCCTACTAAATTCCCTGTATCTCCACACCAACTCTCCTGCTTTAAATTCTTTTTATTATTGTTGACAATATTACAGATCTCCCCATATTCCCCTATCCCTTCCTCCCAGCCCTGCCCCACCCAGGTTTGCTCAGTTAACATCAGTGACACTGACCTCCCAGTTTCTTCTTAGAAGGATTCTCCCTCCAAGGGCACTTACAAATTCTCTTCTTCCCCGGTTTTCCATACTGGTGAATACTGGCTTCCCTGAACTTGCAAATTCTCTCTGCACCTGGTTTCCATGCCTATGGTGCCAGCTTCCCTGAACTGACTTAGGAGCTATTGCTGGGCCTCCTCTATGAAAGGAGGGAAGGCAGTAACCCCAGGACAGTCCGTCTGCGATGCTCTCTAAGTGCACACATGTCCTCCCAGGTGCGGCTCCGGCACCCACTGCAGAGGTGCGCTGCCCAGCCCTCGTTGCCCCGGGGCAGGGAGTGATGTCCTGCCAACACCCCCTGGCAACCTTTGGATTGAATAGCACCTGTCACTTTGGATGCAAAGCGGGATTCCAGCTCCGGGGAGAGGCTGCTGTCCGGTGCGGACGGTCGGGACGTTGGACAGCAGCCACCCCGGCTTGCAGAGGTGAGTGAGGGCCGGCCGCTCGGACGCCGATTCCTCAGGCCCCAAACCAGTCGGGGCACCCGCCTGCCGAAACCCTGTCCAGCCCCAGCGGCCACTTGGAGTGCCCGCTCCTTCACGAAGTCACACCAATCCCAAGTGGCAGTCGCATGCGGCAAGCGCATCCCTCCCCGCTTCCTCACCTCACGCTAAGCCCTGGCGCTCAGACACCTCGTGGGGAAACGTTCATCAGCGTCCAAAACTGTGTTAGAGCAGCAAGCACGTTGAGCGTAACCAGCTCCGTGAGTGCTGCAACACAAGCTTTAGGTCTAGTGACGAGGGGACAGCTAGACGGTCCATATTCCCATGATTCGCACCTAAATCAGAAGACAGCCATGCGTGACCCCCGGCAGGGCGGCTGCAGCGCATGAAGAATTGTCTTCTCCTGCTTTGTCTTCCCCACAAAGCACAGCACAGCCCTTTGCGGCGTCGCTACATCTCGGTGTTTATCTGGATTAAATTTAATTTCTTGAGCGCTAGCTTCCTGTCCACAAATTAAGGCGAATGACTTGAAGTTTCTGGAAAACTAGTTTAAAGAGGGTGGCAGTCTCTACTTCTTTCACACCTGAGTCCAGCCATGCTGAATCCTTGTGGAATATTTTCATCCTATTTGACACCTAACAGCACGTACTGACGTGCCAGCTAATTGTCAGCGGCAGCGATGATAACGTTTAGGACAATAGCATCTTTGAGAAATGAGATTTTACAAATGGTGTTCTGTAGGCCAGGCTGCCCGATCCCTCAGCAGGAGTTTCTTGGATGCCATGCTGTGCCCCCAATTCATTGGCTGGCACCCTCCCGGCGGGTGTCTCGGTCTGTGAGATGGTGGAAGGGCTGATGCGGATGCCGGGAGGGGCTCGTCTCCTCCCTGACCTTCCCTATTCGCTCTCACCTCCTGGCACCGTCAGCCAGGTCACATGAAGCCAGGGTCTCTCTCCCCTCATGCGCCATGACCCACCCTCGTTGTCCCCGTTCCTTCCGGCAGCTGTGCAGTGTTCCGAGCTGCACACTGAGGAGCCGGTGCTGATGAACTGCTCCAGCCCTTGGGGCCATTTCAGCTATGGCGCCACCTGCACCTTCCACTGTCCGGAGGGCCAGTCGCTCAATGGCTCGGCGGCGGCAGCATGCGGACCCGACGGCCAGTGGTCAGCGGCCACGCCCACCTGTCAAGGTACGTCTTCATATAGCTTCAGGAGCCACGCTGCCGTGGAAAATAACCAAATCCGGGTTCCTCTCGGTGTGTCTGGCAGTGGTCTCGCTTTCTGTCACGGGGTTTTCCCTTCATTAGGTAAGCGTTTCACAATGAATCAAGCCGAACCTTCTTGCCCTCACAGAGCAGAGTGGTCAGGAGCAGCGCTCTGTGTGGGCAGCCGGCCCTCCTTCTGCAGAGCTCAGATTTATGAAACGAATCCTCTCGTTGCTTTATAATCTGGGGGAGGTAATACATCTTGAAGCTTCAACATGTTTTAGACCGGGGGTGATTTTCTGCAGCTTCCTCACGTATCTCAGAGGACCTTTGATTATCACACGCCTCTAAAAACTAAAGACTCCACCAACCTCCTGAATGCAGCCCCGCCTGCTGTTAAGGGTTATTCCATCCACCATCTTTCTTCTTTTTTTTCCTCCACAGCTTCTCATGACTTTTTTTCCTTTCTGTAACTGTATTTTTCATTGCAACAGAAATTACCCAGGGTGCATTTTATTTGCCCAGACTTCCACTCCTTGGGTCTACCATGTGGCCATTAATTCCTTTTCGTCCATCCTTGCCCTGACCCCTTTGGAAATTGCGTCTGATACTAAAGCCTTGGGGGTAAAATGTGGTTTTATGACTCCCAGGTTGCCAGCACTGCCAGGGCCTCTGGTGATCCTCCTGGGAGTTTCCTGGGCTCCGCCGGGAGGATGGTCTTTGACACAATGCACCCTAAGTCTGTGTGTGTGCTTGCTTGCAGCAGGGCCGCTGACCGTCCAGGAAGCCCTGACGTACGTGGGTGGAGCAGTGGCCTCCACAACAGGCTTGGTGATGGGCGGCACACTCCTCGCTCTGCTCCGGAGGCGTTGCCGACAGAAAGGTAACTGGGGGGGAGGCTGTCCTTCGCTTCCGCTTTCCTGAGGTTTGGGGAGGGTGGGGGACCACAGCTGCAGCAGCACCTGTGAGAGAACCTCTGCATTAGAAGAAAACATGACCTTGAGAACTGACTGTCCACAGTTCTCTTTATAAAGATAAAGAATGTTCTAAAAGCCCAGATCCTCAGGTAAGGAGACTGGACATGGGCTTGGAAATCTGAACTTTTCAACACCCACCCTCCGTTATCACCAAAACTAAATGAAATCGTGTCTCACTTCTCTCCTTCATCCCTTCCACTAGTCTTTCATGCCCCCATCATCTATTGACCAACTGTGTTAGGTGGTGGGACCCTGACTTCTGGTTCCTGGGATGGAGGGACGTGTAATCCAGGAGTGGAAATAGGCAAGTGAGATCCGTGCTAACACTGAAGGGCAGGACTGGGTTAGGCACAGTTACAGCCCGAGTGTGACAGGGACACAAAACGAAGGTGTCCCAACCAGCCAGGTAGCTCAGAACAGCTCTTTGCAACTTAACATTGATGAATAGGAGGGATTTGCCTGGGAAAAGCAGAAGCAGTTCCAAGAGGAAAGATCTGGAAGGACCTAGAGGTGAGACAACTGGGGAGGTGCTACGCTCGGCAGTGCAGGGCATCTGGCCCCAAGAGGCCCATGGAGGAAGCGAGAAAGGAGGCTAGAGGCGGGAAGAGCCGCCCTGCTCATGCCTCGGTCTGAAAAGATGGACGTTCGCATGGACATGTGTGGAGCTAGTGCGGGGTTTAAGCCGGGAAGGGACCAGAGTGGATGGAGATCCTGTAAGGGAAACGTGTTTATCAGACTGCCTGCCAAAAAGAGCTCTGGCCTGGGATAAGAGGAGGGACCATTTCTTCAGGGTCAGAACATCCTTCCTCTGTCTGGCCCAAATGCCTAGCCTGTCCCTAAGGTCAGAAACCTCTCTGGATAAGCTTATGGGGCTCCTCGCCCTCCTCATGGACAGTGACCAGGAGTGACCAGGGGCATCAGAGGGTCCAGGACTGTGCAGAGCCAGGTGAGGAAGTGTCTCTGTCAAAAGCACCTGCTGGAGTCCCCCTGGAGTTAGGGAGTCCCCCTGGG